TCCCTATCATTTAGGATAGCTGAAATAATCACATAGATGACTTTGATTACTGGAAACAATGCTGGGTACATGGTTAGCACAACACAAGCATTAGCTCTATTTGACCTGAAGTTTATTTCAAAGTAAAGCTTACAAAACCTTAGAGTAATTGAACTGTTAAAATGCAGTATAACAAATCCGCTCAATGCATTTTAAGAGCCTAATGCAGATTCCTTGGAAGCACAGGTATTTTACAGCCTTGGCATAATAGTGGTTAGACTTCCAGAAATAATTAAACCTCAAGACCTGAATATTTGAAAAGGAAAGAAAAAAAGGCCAGAGAGATAAGGAATAAAGGAGAGATCACCTCTTCCTTGTCATTCATTTATTAATTCACCTACAAAGCATGTACTGATCGTCTATTACACTAGAGGCCAGGCTATGTTGGGGTGTTTTGTTTTTGCTAGAGGGCATATGCACTCTCCAGAGAGAGCAGGAGGGAGGGAGGGAGGGAGAAAGTCCCCCAATGAGGCATGGTCAGGCCAGGATCCTTTCTCTGTTTCTGCACTTTACTGGGATTGTGGGCATGCATCCATACATATTTGGTATCTTTTTCAAGCTGCCAGTGCTGTTCAGGTTGGCCACGTGGGATCCAGCTCTACAATCCCCAGGCCAAAGGGCCAGCCTCATACTAGTTCATCTGGTCAGTTCTCAAAGTGAGATCTGCAGGTCAAAACGACTTCTCTACCAGGCCAGCTGCAGTGGCACTGAGTGTTCTGCAGTCCTGAGGCCACGTGAGACTTGGCCCACATGGGACCTCAGGTTTGCACCTCCAGGCCTCCCTGCGCACACTGGGCACATTACTTCTGTAATCTGCACTAAGGCTGGGGGTACTTCAGTGTGAGGACTCTGTTGGGGGTGACCGTCTCTTCTATCTCGATTAAAAGCTTTTTAAAAACTTTCATAAAAGGGGCCAGCGGTGGTGCAGTGGTTAAAGTGCTGGACTCTGGCATGGACAACTATGGTCTGAGTCCCATACCTGGCAGCTTGAAACACAACAGGCACGTGTGTGTGCGCCTGAAATTCCAAGAGGAGAAGGAAGAGAAGGGATTGTGGTACGGCCATCTCCTTGGGGAGTGATTTATCTCTTTCTCTCTCTGTCTCAATCTCTCCAGTGAGTCCATGCACCCTACAGAAAACAAAAACAAAAACAAAAAAAACTTTCATAATACTAAAATGTTAGTTGCTTTTTCTCATTTTGATAATTGCACTGATGATATAAATGCAATGGTTAGAATTACTGGGGTCTAAGTTTGCATCAAGACAATGGTATCAAACTACCAGTTTTTCTCTTTTTTGGGGGGAGAGGAGGTTTTTGCTATAGGGTGCGTGTGCTCACCAGAAAGACCGAGACAGAGAGCTAGAAAGTGAAAAATCACCCCCCAGGGGGATGGCCATGCCGTAATCCCTTCTCCTCCATTCTCCTCTTGGGGACTTGGGCACACACACACACACACACACACACACACACGTGCACGCGTGCACACGCCCAGCGTCCAGAGTACTCTTCACTAACATGATTTTTTTTCTCATAATGTGTGTTAAAACCTGTTTTCAGATACAAAAATCTTGACAAATAAGTTTACTGTGATTGGGTTTAAATATTAAAGGTATGCTGGATTCCTAAAAGGAATGGGAGAGATATCCAACTTTTTCTATTGCCTTCAGAGTTTAAATAAAGATCAGTTAAAACAGGTATGATCCCATCCAGCCTTTTTCAACAGTAGAGCTTAAAATACATTTTCTACTTAATTATGGTGTGAATGGTCAATTACAATTTTCAATGTTGGGGGAATCAATATTTATTTCTCTTTAAAGATCCATAACAAATATTCCCTGGTGCTACATGTCTTGTCAGTTTTACCTCTTGAGACCTAAGGAACCTTAATCTAGCCTTTCTACTCCCCATCCCCCTCCTTAGGAGAATTGTTTCCTTTGTTATACACTTCAATATAACACATGCACTTATAAAGATTCTACTGTGTGATCACTCACTTCTGAATGGTGTCAGTTATCTGAATCACACAGGGAGGAGGGAATGAACAAAAAATGGAGCATATTATTGCAAACTCTCATTAAACCTATTGCTTCCTTAAAAGCAGGTCTCTCTCCCCCAGGTTTTCAGCCTTCGGTATTACAGGGCTTAGTTAATGCAATTTTTCTTTCTAGGTCCACATTCTCTGCTATTCTGCTGTACTGGAGGTGGGCCCATGAAGATCAGATGGTCCTCTTAAAAGAAATCTGGAGCCAGCAAGTGGTATGGAGGTTAAGGTGCTGGATTCCAAATGGCTGGCTTCATGGTTCAAGTTCCAGATATGGCAGCTTGAAAATCACACTGGGCATGTTTGTATACATACCCAGAATTTTCAGAGAATGAAGGGACTGCAGGTGTGGCCATCACCCCTGAAGGGTGATTTCTCATTTTTCCTCTCTCTCTCTCTCTCTCTCTCTCCGGCAAGTGCACATACCCTACCTACACCAAACTTGAAACAAAAAAGGGAGAGAAATCTTCAAATCAGGATAGGTTTACAGTAGTCCTCAGGCTGCCCCCTCAATTTGTTCCAAATCTCAAAGTATTTGTGAGATAGTTGTAATATCACAAATTGAGGTTATTTCCTTATTTAAGATCAATTTTTACATCTTAAATGGTTTTTAATCCATTATATCTACCTTTGATTCTTATTTTTTTCAGTAGGTTTCAAAGAAGGGGACAAGACAAACTCTATCCAAGTAGAAAACTCGTTAAATGAAATTTTAACATCTTGTACTGTGCTCAATTAACATTTAGATACGTATCTAAAAAACACACTAAACCATGACATGTAAACAATCGATTCATTTTAGTGAAGAATTTACTGAGGGGCTAGTCCTGGCCCTGTAGAGGCCAGCCATGGGGAGCAAGCAGGTGACACTGAGGCCATGTGGGAGGCCCAGGTTTGGTTCCTATTCCAACTTAAACCTGCCTGGCATGCTAGCACAGCACCTAGGGTCCTAGCTCACTGGGGGTCTAGGGGAAGAGGACTATAATGAGACACTGAAAAATAACCCTCTCCCCCCTAGAGATCAGACACACACACCCCAGAAAATTAACTTTTGTAATTTAAATGACTTGACGCACTTACACTCCTGCACTTACACTCCTCGCTTCACCTTGGTTTCCTATTCCTTCTGTTTCAAATCTTCCAGCACACCTGGAGAGCGCCTAGGGCAATGCATGTGGCAGACATTCAGCAAAGGACATGGGCCTTGCTCTTCTCCTGATCTCATCTTGTTTCCTGTATTTGTCAGGAATCTTTCAGTTGTGGGTTTAAACACAAGCTTTTGAGCAAGTTTGTGCTTAAGAAAGTAAGCAATGCGGGAACCAGCAGTTAGCATAATGGCTATGTCGCTGGATTCCCACGTAGTCAACCGCGGTTCGTGTCCCAGACCCGGTGGCTTAGAACTCAACGCCGGGCGCGTGTGCGTGTGTGCCCAAGATCCCGAGAGGAGAATGGAGAAGGGATTGCGGTGTGACCATCCCCTCTGGGGGGTGATTTCTCACTTTCTGTCTCTATGTCTCTGTCTGTCTGGCAAGGGCACGTGCACTATAGGGAAAACCTCTCAAAAAAAAAAAAAAAAAGTAAACAATGTATAACTGAGGCTCAGGAAAAGTTTCAAAATCTCTCTGGATTCTGTTTCCAACTCTACCAGACTTGCTTTCAAATCATTTTTTTCCAAATAACAGAAAAATACAAGCATGGAGAATGCCCAAGTTGAGACTTTTTTTGTTTCCAATTTGTAAAGATCTGTTTCTAATTAATTCAGGAACTCAACTTCAGACAAGTACTCTCCATCAGTTGGAAAGGGAGTTAGAACCTCTAAGTAGCAGCTCCTCCTCCTCCTCTGACCCATACAATTGAAAGGGGTTTCTGTCTCAAAGAAAGGGATGCTGGCTTAAAAAACAGGGAGGGAAATAGTCTGCCTCCTCTCTCTTAATCTTATTCATCTAAATCAGATCACACCTTTTTTTTTTTTTGAGAGGTTTTCACTATAGGGCGCATGCGCTCGCCAGACAGAGAGGCAGAGAGCGAGAAATCACCCCCCAGGGGGGATGGCCATGCCCCAATCCCTTCTCCTCCATTCTCCTCTCAGGATCTTGGGGACGTACGCACACGCGCCCGGCATGAGTTTTAAGCCACTGGGTCCGGGACACGAACCGCCGTCGACTACGTGGGAGTCCAGCGACATAGCCATTACGGTAACTGCTGGTTCCCACAGGTCAAGAACTTTTTAAGGCTTCACTTTACCCTTTATTCTTTTTTCAGGTCCCAGAGAACACATGTGCTCACCAGAGAAGACAGGCAGAAAGCACTCCCCCATGGGGTGTGGTCACATCACAAGCCTTTCTCCTCCACCTCTCCATCTTGTCAGTGAGCACTGGGGCACACATGCAGACATACTGCACACTGCATTGTCTTTCAAGCTCCCAGGGCTGTGATTTGAGATAAAGGTCCCTTAATCACTAGGCCAGAGTTGGCCCGCTACTAATTCCATTATTTGGAAAATTCAAAGTAATATAATTTATTATAGTCTGCAATAAGCATATGGTGAAGTTAATGAATAAACAACCAATAAAAACTGATACAATTGGCAATATAATTGTTTTATTAATTTTTCTTTGTAGAAGCATGCTTTTTTACAGCACCTGTAAACACCTCAGTGAAGTATATATCATTTTGAGATTTTGTGTGTGTGTGTGTGTGTGTGTGTGTGTATAAGTAGAATTATTTTGGAATGTTAGATTACCCCATCAACTGCATTACATAATAGTTACTGAAGGCAAGTCAGGCCAAAACAAGGGTAAAATTTTATAGCTAAAAATATTTATAGCAGCAACTTTGAAAAGATGATTTTATTAGAACAAGTCATTGCACTTGGTCATTTTATTGCTACAGCAAAACAAGGTCATTAAATTCTAACACTTCGTATCTCGGATTTTAATTGATTGTCTCATTCTGCTCATACATTTCAAGTTTCAATGCAAGCATAAAATGTTTATCAAAAATCTAGAGAACACTTGGATTGTTTTTTTCTATGATCATAGTAATATAAAGAGAATCCTCTGTTACACAAGACTCGTTCTCTTTGCATCTTTAAAACAAATTCTGTAAAGAAGTAACAGCTTTACAACAAAAACAGACGCTTAATGGCCACCAAAATAAAACAAATACAATTACAAAATCAGCAATATTATGTGTTGCAAAGAAGAGCAAACTTGAACTATATATTCAACTAATAATTTGGCAAAGACAGATCCCACGCTGTTTGTAACTTTAGTCTATAACTGATACCCACCTACAGAAAAAAAAATTAAAAGGCTATTACATATCATTTTGTGATATGACTATTAGGAACAGAAATTAATAAAAGTTCCCATATCAAGAGCAAATACTGGTAACTTGCTATGTTAAAGCAATCACTTTCCTTTTGTTTGGTTTTCTTTAATATTTTGTCATGGGCATAAAAGTAGACACACAGCACTTCAAGTACTTTTCTATTCTGAGAAGAACACAAGCACATTCTTTAGATGTATTTTAGCACTCATGACCACTTTGATCCCATGTACTAGTGAACAAATGAACAAAATCCTTACAAATAGCCTGAAATCTGCTGGAACCTTCCCCACCACTGTTAAGAGTAGAGAAGGATCACTTTTAATAGATTTTCCAATGATAAAGCAGAAGAATGATTCTGAGGATACAATGCTTTTATTTTTACCTACAGGCTGCCATTAAAAGAAAGACAGATCTCATTTATTTAATAAGCAGAAAATAATTCATTTAACTACTACTCATCTAAAAACAGGAGTGAATGATCTGGTTCAGTAGTGACCTAATTAGAAGAGTCCAAAGACTTTAAGTTTAGAGTTAAAATGTACACGCTCAATGCACAATTAGCCTTCTCCAAAGCCCTAAGTTGTCAATTAAACATTAAGTAATTGTGCACTGACATTTATATTATTTTCTATTTCAGTTTTCTTTCATTTGAAACATGACAAAATCTCATTTACACAGGATTTCAGTAAAAAGATTCAAACATAAAGGGAAAATATTGGTTTGGTGGCTTAAAACAACAAAAGAATGAAAGTGTGACAAAATCTGACACTCATTTGCTATAATAAAGCTTACAATCTGTTTTTCATTCAAAAAAAGTCATTTAAAAATTTTAAATAAACCCACATGTGTTTGTAAAGATATCACCTATAGATAAAACATTTTAAAATGTTTATTCATAAGTGATTCTGAGGAAACTGCTAATCCATCGAATCTGTGAAAATGTATTTTGAATATTTGGTTTTAAATAAACTGTAATGTTATGTTTTATTATATACTAACACGCTTTACAAAGGTGGTACCTAAATAACCACAAAACATCTCCACATTTTTTTAGTTTGGTCTACTGGGCAAATCATACATTGTAAAACCTGAGTATTTACATGATAACTGTCAAAGTATGAATATCGTATGCTGAAGTTCTAAAAAGTCTGGATTTTGTTTTCCTAATATTAATAAAAATCAGAGGGAGGATCATGAATAACTATCACAAGATAATAAAATGAGGAATATTTGAGGATGTAAAATAAGCAGAAAAAAAATACCATAAGGCTGGTGTTTACATGTCTTATGTGCTGTAGTTTCTAGGCACAATGAGGGTTAAATTGACATTTTTAGATTTCCTTAGACCTAACGAATTTAAAATAAAGTTCATATTTTCCCAAGTATTTTTAATAATCCAATATATTTTAATTAAATTTCTTTTATGAATCCTATAGTGCAAGCAATATAAAATACTCTAAAAGTTGAAGAAATCATTTTGATTATTTCATCTGGTATTACTATATGCATGGGTGAGTAATCTAGTTTACAGATAGGAAACTCCTATTGTATCACCCAAAATATAAACAGCACTGCAGACAAACAGGCACAACAGTGTAATCCTGGGTAAGAAGCTAAAAGTAAAAATATATTTATATGTGTGTGTATATATACATACACACACACACACACACACATATATATATATACACACATACTCACACACACACACACACACACACACACACAGAGTTTATATCCCTTATGTATTATGGGAAAAGCAGTGACTATAGTAGTTATTATAATTCATCCCTCTCAAATAGTTTATCTTACAGATTGCTTGTAAAGATATCACCATATTTATAGTATAGATCTCTTTAAAAATAATACAAGTTTTAATAAAAAAACTATTGTGAACTTTCTTTCCTTTTTATACAGATTCAGTAGTAGTCTCAAGCAAACAAAAATAAATGTTTGCAATCCCAGCACAGTAAGAAATAAGGCCTCTTTTTTTTATATTGGCAAAACAAAATATATAAAAAAAATTTACCCTCCCCCTGCTTTTCTAAGATTAATTATAGTTCATATAGTCATGTTAATTACGACACCAGCATTTGTTATTTTTAAGTAACAAGTTAGCTGAAGTTCATAGTGTTGCTTCTGAATCCCTGGAACATTAGGAACACTGGATCTACGCCACCTCAAGACAGGACAGCTTTCTTCAGCTTCTCTATTTCCACCTAAAATACAAATCATCAATTGAACAATAAGTAAGATATCTCTAGTGAAATTTCTTTATTTTAGCTTATGTCATTAAGATGTGATCATACTTTCAAGCTCCCAGATTTTGATTTCTAAATCTAAAATTTAATTTCACACGATATAATAAACATTGTTGAATAAAAGTTCAACTAAAGAAAATGTAACAATTCAAGTTTCTAAATGGCAGACCAATGGTAAGCTATAGATGTGAAACTAAAAGTATAAGAACTTCAGTCCAACAAAAAAACAAAAGAATCCATGAAACCAAATACATATTGAACATGTGTCTGTAATTAAACAAAGAGAGCAACATAAAACAGTAAAAAGAGTAAGAACTAGTGTAGTTCCATGTTTTTCCCTAATTACCTATGTGACACTGGTAAATCACTTCACTTAGTTTGTTTCCTCATACATAAAGAGTACAAAGGATTTAAGAAGTTCATGAAAAACATATTTTATGAAAAACATATTTGGTTTTTAAAAATGTTGGTACTAAAATAAACTTGTATTTTAATTCCATTTTTCCATAAACTTTTTTGAAGTCCTTTGTATGCTAAAATAAATTATCTCTTTTAAAAAGTTGCTATAAGGCATGTGTGCTCACTGGAGAGACAAAAAGAGTGCAAAAGCACCCAAGGGTGGAGAGAGATGGTCTAGCAACAACCCTTTCTCCTCCATTCTCCTCTTGGGGTATCGGACATAGGTGCACACCCAATGTGTTTTTTAAGCTGGTGGGTCCTCCAACTGCAGTCTGCCATGTGGAATCCAGCTACCTTACTACCATCTGTATCTTGAAAACCCATGAATATAACTAAGATTCAGTCAACAAGTTGGAAGTATGTTTGCTTTGAGGCAGATGGTATTCTTCACTTAACAGAAATTCTTAACAAAAGAAACATTAAGGGGAAACTCAGTTTATTAAATTTTCACCATAACTACAGAGAGCTAGTTAATTCTGAAATATTATAAAAGACTAAGTTGCAGCTCTACGACATTAAACAGTATGCTGATGCTCCCATGCTGGCAAGTGACAAGAGCCTTATATTGGCAAGGTCTAGGCCTCCAAAGCCCACAGCACGTATACTGTCTTTTCTTTTCATTTTCATTTTTAGGTTTTATTCATAGGGTACGTGTGTTCACCTGAATGAGAAACAGACATGGAGAGGGAAAGTAAGAAATCACCCCCCCTGGGGATGGTCACACTGCAATCCCTTCTCTTCCACTCTTCTGGGATTTTGGACACATACACACATGCCCAGTGTGAGTTTCAAGCCCCAAGATCGTCCAGTACTCAAAACGTATTTGGCCACATGGGAGTCCAGCGCCCCAACTACCACACCACCTGCTGGCCCCATAGACTGTCTTTCTAATTCTTTCTTTCAAGAGATTTTTGCTATACAGCATGTGTACTTGCTGGAGAGAGAGAGGGAAAGTGAGAAATCACCCCATAGGGGGATAGCCATGTTGTAATCCCTCCTCTTCTATTCCCCTATCAGGATTTTGGGTATGAATACACACCTGCCTGGCCTGAGTTTTAAGCAGCCAGGTCTGGGACTTGAACTGTAGTCAGCATGTGAGTCCAGTGCCTTAACCTCTATGCCACCTGCTGGCCCTCTAATTCTTTATTTTGATCATTTTTTAACCTTTCGCCACACATGAAAAATCTAGGCCTTGCCTTCTTTTGATGCCACCATCTTTCCCCTTCAAACAATGTGCATAATCATACATGCTTTGGCTAACCTCTGACAATAGTTCATTATTAAATAATGAGGATTTTGATGCAATCAAAAATTATAATTCTGATATATGCACAATCTCCTGAGGATTTCCAACCATCCAAGAATGGTATATTTCAGGGTGTCCTGATTTTTGTAAATAATATGATTATTAGCTACATGTTTTAGCAGCATTGAATTGGAACAAAATTTGGTTTTCAGCCTGGATTGAGACAAGATATCTTTTATCGTCAGCCTAACAAATTATTCCAAAGATTTATTACCTAAGCATACCAATTTCAATAGACAAAGATGCATAGAACAAGAAAAAAAGTATGGATAAAGGAGGGAGTAGGGAGTGGAAAGAACATCCCAGAATGCAAAGTCAATAATAATCCTTACAAACTATCTGTAACATAAATCTGGTTATTGGGCAAATACTTATATTGCTAGAGTTTCTCTTCTAGCACTTTTATATTCACGTTCATTATCGGTCCTTTTTATCACCCTCCAGCATCATACTGAAATAGACATGGATCTCATACCAAACAATCATACAGGCTAGAAAATAGGCAAAACGGGAAAATAACGTAACAATGATAAGACAGAAAATTATTACTTACACATCTCTCACAAAACTAGAGGACAAGTGAATTTGGAAGACTAAATTACTTTTAATTAGAAGAACATTGGTACCAACTTAATGTAGGTATTGACTGCTTAAGCTAGATCTTCAAAATATGAAGAAACTCTGGCCCAGCTAGGATGGCACAAGCAGTAGAGCTGTACTGTGTGATAAAGAAGCCATACAGGAAGGTTCAGAGTACAAATGTCCAAGCAGTCTGAACATGCCAGGCACACCTAGATGTGTGTCTATGACCCTGGCTGGCTGGAAGACTGTGGGAGAACTACAGTATGGCAGGCTCTGTCAAGGATCCCTCTTTCTCACAAAAGAAAAGAAACTTAAAAAAAAAAATCAATTTCTCTTTCTCTGATATATAAAAACAAATAAGCAAAAAGGAAGATCATAATGATGCAAAAGGATAATCCAGGAAAATGCAGTGCAAGTATGATTAAAAATCAGACAAATCATCTGTAAGGCCCAATGAAGAAACAGCAAATGAGAAAATAAACTAGGACCAGAATAGATCTCATTAAGTTTGAACTTAATACAACAAGCAAGAGAAAAACTCTTGAAAATACCTAAGCAAGGAGAAATTAGTCTGAAATAAAAGTGATAGAAACTCAAGAAGCAAGCTAAAATAAAAAGAAAAAGACCATCAGAACAAGAGGAACACGGAAATAAAAAGATAAAGGTTAGGAGGTAAAGCTAAAATTTCTGAAAGTGAACGGAATAAAAAGAGAACCAAAATACCATGTCTACGTCTACGTAACTAGAAGAATAACAGAAACAGAAATGAAAAGGAAGATGATACAAATTACACTGGGAACACAGGAAATCTAAATTCACAATGGAACATCCAAGAGGGCTAATAGCTAGAAACATGAGCTAGAAGCTGGAAAAAGAATGAGGAAATGCAATAGAACTAATCATGAGATTTATGAGATGTATTCAAAAGCTAAATTAGGAAAGAAAGAACATTTAAGTACAAAAAAAGGAAGACAGAGACTATATATCACCTAAACTCAGATAAAGCTTCTATAGGGTGACAATGATAAAAAGGTGAAATTCTACAGAAACCAAGGAAATACTGGATTTAGCATCATAAACCAATCTAAAATGCAAGGAATTAACAAATGAATTGAAGATAAAAAATTAAAGACCAAACGTAGGTGGGTTTTTCTTTTTTGAGCGGCCTGGGGGTTGTTCTTGTTTTATAGCAAAATCCAAATGAAATAAACAACTACAGGAGATCAACAGGGCAGCTAAAATTGAAAAGGAGCTCATCTTTGTTTCTGAGTAAGGAAGGGGGAAAAATGAGTACTTCCATACAAAGAAATGAAGGTGCCAATAAAGAAGATATGTTAGATATAAGAGGAAAAATATTGAGTTTCGATAACTTACAGGCTACCTTTTAGTATCTCAATAATAAAAGAGGGTTGGAGACTGCATAGTGGTGGTGCAGTAAATCTCAACACATTGCAAGTATAATCCACGTGGAAAGGGTCCGTGTTCACATCCACACACCTCCAAGAGTACACCAGGCATAGGAATGGCTAAGGCTGGGCAGGGGATGAGGTCAAAGTATGAGCACCCTCTTGAGGGTGCTGAATTTCTTTCTCTCTTGCTCATGAACTAAACTAACAACAGCTGAAAGAGGTTAAGTGATTGACTGAAGCTCATGTAGTATAACTTAATCCCTAAGAGCAAAGGTTCTAAAGTCTAGCTACTTCTGTTAAGAACAATAAAAATTTCATGGGGCCAGCAGGTGGCACGGTGGTTAAGGCACTGGATCCCACGTGGCCAACTCCATGGTTCGAGTACCAGATCCAGTGGCTTAAAGACACTGGGCATGTGTGTGTGTGTGTGTGTGCCCAAACTTATGAGAGGAGAATGGAAGAAGAGGGATTGCAGAGTGGCCATCCCCCAACCCCTGGGGCAGGAGAGGATTTCACTTTCAACCCTCTCTCTCTCCAGTGAGCACACATATACTATGGCAAAAACATAAATAAACACAAATTTCAGCTCTGCTGCTATGGCTTCATCACTCTAAACCCTGGTTTTCTCACCCTAATAAAGGAACAATAATCCTTATAAGCTGTTATGTGTACCTAACAAGATAATGTACAACAAGTGCTAAGTTAAATGATAATTAATTTAGAAGTCAAAAGTTATTCACCAATGTAAACCAGACAGAAGAGTAAGATAAAAAGTAGGGAGGAAAATGAAATGCCTAAATAAAAAATGGGAAGAATCTTTAAAAAAAGGCAGCACACGTCTCTTGAGATAAACAGAAAAAGAAAATTAAGGAAGTTAAAAAGAAGTAAAAACAAAGATATCAGAATAAAATACACAAATATAAAAGAAAAGAGGAGAGAGGGGAGAGGGAAGAGAGAAGAGGGGAAAGGAGAGGAGAGGAGGGAGGGGAGGGACGGGGAGGGGAAGAGAGAAATATCAGGCCATTGAGAAGGTCATGACATATTTTTGTTTTTCTACAGAAAAAAGCATTGTGACTTTCCACCAACCAAATATAACTTGAGGAAGACTGAAGACTATCTTAAAGAGGCCTGTTTTCTTCACAAACATATTGGTGGTTCACACACTACTAGAGTTAGTGCTTAAAAAATATCTATTGCGGGACCAGCAGTTAGCATAATGGCTATGTTGCTGAACTCCCATGTAGTTGACTGTGGTTCGAGTCCCAGACCATGTGGCTTAAACTCACGTCGGGTGCGTGTGCGTATGTGCCCAAGATCCCAAGAGGAGAATGGAGGAGAAGGGACTGCGGCATGGCCATCTCCACTGGGGGGATGATTTCTCACTTTCTGTCTCTGTCTTTCTGGCGAGTGCATGCGCTCTGTAGCAAAAACTTCTCAAAAAAAAAAAAAAACCTATTGCATGAATGAACAGACTGAAACTAAAAGTCAGCAAGAAATTTAGGCTACCATGCAGCAGGTAAAATAGCATAATTTTAACCAATCATCCAGTTGGACTAGGGTAAAAATCATGTCAGTTTATGTTTCAAATGTCAGTGCTGGGAGAAATAAATTACCTCTAGATTACTTCTCAGGGCCTTTTCTTCTTCCAAATCTTTTCGTAGTCTTTCCAGTTCTTTCCTACAAATAAAGTATGTATTACAGTTAATTCTTTCAAATAAACAATCTAACTAATGTTAACAGGATCTTGTTGTTTAATAAGATAACAAGTTTATGGAGAAAAAATTTTAAGGCTATAACCATGTGGACTGAGAAAAATTTCAGTCACTAATTTGAATGGCTCAATGTAACAGAAATTTAACAAAACCAGGACCAGCAGTTGTCGCAATGGCTATGTCACTGGACTTTCATGCAGTTGACTGCGGTTCAAGTCCTAGACCCAGTGGCTTAAACTTACATCAAGTGTGTGTATGCCCAAAATCCCGAGGGGAGAATGGAGGAGAAGGGATTGCAGCGTGGGCATCTCCCCTGGGGGGTGATTTCTTCTCTTTCTGTCTATCTCTGTCTTTCTGGTGAGCGCACACGCCTTGTAGTAAAAACCTCTCAAAAAAAAAAAAAAGTTTAACAAAACCATGGCAAATCGACATGACATTAATTGACTAGCTCATGACAAAATAAAGGAAGAAATATCCTGTCTTTAAAAGCCATTTTCTACATTCAGCTATCATGCATTTTCAGTGAGAAACTCTAGAATGGAAGCGATATGTTAAAATGAAAATCAACATGTTACAAACAAGGCAAATTACAATTTATAAGATAATCTACACTCTAACTTTTTCTCTATTTTAAAAATTAAATATTACAGGGCTAGCATGTGGCATAGTTGTTAAGGCACTAGAAACACACGGTCAACTGCGGTTTAAGTCCTGGACCTTTCAACTTGAAACTCATGCCAGATATATGTACATGCACGTCCAAAATCCCAGGAGGACTGCAGCATGGCCATACCCTTGAGGAGTTATTTTATACTTTCCCTCTCACTGTCCCTGGCAAACACACATGGCCCTATGGTAAAAACCTTAAAGAAAAAAAAAATTAAATATGACATTAAAATCTAAAACCAACCAAAAGCTCCAGTCAATAACATCTCACTAATTCATGATCTCAATTTTCTGTATTCCCTTCCAATCTATATTTTTATCTATTCACACTTACTTCCCCAGCTTTTATGTTCTACATTATGCCTTTTCACAAATTATTTTAAAATATCCCCATGAGTAGGAAGTAATTTTTCTAAAATAAAGGTAAATTTTCTATTGCTTCCTAATGAATGTATTCTTTTGAGAGAGATTTTTGCTATAGACTGTGTGTACTTGCCAGAGACAGAAAGCGAGAAATTACCTTTGGGGAGGGCCACACTGCAATCCCTTCTCCTCTATTCTCCTCCTGGGATCTTGGGCATGTATGCACACATGCCCAGCGTGAGTTTGAAGCCATGAGGTCTTGGACTCAAACCACAGTTGGCCATTTGCGATTCCAGCGATGTAAATGCTATGTGCCACTTGCTGGTTTATGACTATACTTTTTAAAGTAATTATTTAATTCAAATTTATCTAGAGCTTATTTTGATATGTGGTATAAAGAGATATCTTAGTCCACTGCAGAGCAGTAGGGTACACTCTGTAATGTCAGAAGCCATGTAGAAAACCAGGGGTTTGGATCACGGGTCAACCTGAACATAGATATGACCCTGGCTAGCTGGCTGGCAGAATGGGGAGTCACAACTTATAAAACTCTATCAAGGATATGTGTGTTTATGTATCTCTTTTGTGAAAAAGAAAGAAATAAGAACTTAAAAAAGCAAACAAACAAAAAAATAGGTATATCTAAGCAAACTTAGCATTTCCAAATTTATCCCTAAATTAAATAATGCTTCTTTCCTAATTACTCAATGATCTAAGATTACTATATACTACATTTAAATCTAAATTAAGCCTCATTTCTAGAATATTTATCTATACTTAATAGTGTTATATTATTCTAATATTTGCTTTTAGATGTGCTACTTAATACCATTATCAAATTTTTATTATTCTTAAAATGTGTAATTTTTAATAATATTCTTTCCTTTTATAAAAATGAGATTCAACTATACACCTTATTCTGAAACTTTTCTGTTGAACAGAGTATTGATGTATTTCTATCAACTTCTCCACGTCAATCTCCCTTTTTTTCTTTCTTTGAAAGTTTGTTGTTTGCTATAGGGCATGCGTGCTCACCAGAGTGACAGAGACAGAAAGTGATAAATCACCCCCTAGGGAGGATGGCCATGCCACAATCCCTTCTCCTCCACTCTCCTCTCGGGATCTTGGGCACGCACGCACATGCGCCTGGTATGAGTTTAAGCCACCAGGTCCAGGACTCAAACCGCGGTCGACTATGTGGGAGTCCAGCGACATAGCCATTATATTAACTGTTGGTCCCGATCTCCCATTTTTTAATGATGTGCTCTCTGCATATTCAATTTTAAAACTGGGGACCACAGATAGTGTAATGTTTCCATTGCTGGACTCACATAGTCGACCACAGTTAGAGCCCCAGACACAGCAGCTTAAAACTCATGCCGAACATCCCAAGAGGACAATGGAGGTGAAGGGATTGTGGCGTGACAGTCTCCCCACCCCCCCATGATTTCTCACATTCTTTCTCTCTGGCAAGCACATATACCCTATAGCAAAAATGTCTTAAAAATAAATAAATAAATAAATAATACTGAATGCACAGACTATTTATGTATTCGGTATTATAAGTCTTATACTGAAACTAAATACTAAGAATTCCAAATCTGTTTAAGAAATTAAATATGCAGGTTCTTCAAAGAGTTCCTGGAAACAGATAATTAAAAAATTGTGCATGGGCCAACAAGTGGCATATAAGTTAAGGTACTGAATTTTACATGGCCAGCTGCAGTTTTGAGTCCTGAACCTGGTGAATGGAAAATCATGCCGGGCTACGCATGTGTGTGCATGCCCAAAATCCCAAGAGGAGACTGAAGGAGAAGGGATTGCTGTGTGGTCATGCTCACTGGGAAGTAATTTCTCACTTTCCCTCTCTCTGTCTCATATGCATAAGTCCTATACCCCTGCCTCCCCAAAAAATTATGTGGACTTTAAAGTTTTTGCACTGAAATAAACTCATACTTGAAAACTCCATTTTCCATGAACTTCTTGAAGTACTCACATATTACTAGTACTTCTGATACTCCATGTGACCTTGTCTCCCTCAATTCCATCTTTTCTTTTACAAGAAAAGTTTTGCAGTATTTACTGTTAATTTACTTTTCAAATTTTACTCTCCACATATATTAAATAAAAATATGTGTGTGTGTGTATATATATATATATTCATATTTTCTGGTTTTTAAGTTTTTTCAACTTCATATAAATGCAACAATAGTGTATATAAACTTCTGAC